CTCAGCCTCCTGAGTGCTGGGATTACAGGCATGTGCCACCACGCCCAGCCTGGATGTAAAACATACTTTTTTTGATAAAACAATTTTAAAATCAGGACTTAATCCAAGGTCACCTATTGCATTTAGTTATATCTATTTTTTTCCAGTACCATAGACTGAACCTCAGGACTTTCAAATTGAGCTAAAACCCCAGTCCTTTTAACATTTTTTTAAAAATTTTTTTTGTTGTTGTTTTTTTGTTTTTCTTGCGGTACCAGGAATTGAACTCATGACCTTGAGCTTGCCAGGCAGGCGCTTTGCACTGAGCTAAATCCCCAGCCCCAACATTTTTTTTTTTTAAAACAGTGTCTCACTAAGTGACTAAATTGCCCAGGCTGGGCTTGAACTTGGAATCCTCTTGCCTCAGCCTCCTAGAATGCAGGAATTCTAAGGCGTGCACCGCCACGCCCAGCGTGTCTCTCTGCTTCTTAAGGCGAGGAGAAGGACATCAGCGGCGGGGATGCTTCCACAGAGACCGCCCCCGGTAGTAAATCACTTCCTTCGAAACCTCCAACGAGCAGGATTCAGCACCAGAGGCCCCTGGACAGCTCTGGAAGCCAAACCCTTTCGGAACCAATCGTCGATGGTTCCACTTTCCTACCCGGAGCCTCTTAGTAGCTGCGCCCTCCGCTCAGTGAGAGGAAACTACTCTCCCGTGCCGGTGGGAGAAATGGAGCGGCAGGATGAGTGGCAACCGCATCAGCCAATAACGTGTTACTATCAACCAGCGGCGCTCCGGAACACCAATAGCCGTTGTTGTGGGCGGGACGTGGGCAGCGGCGCGCTGAGCCGGGACCTCGTCTGGACCTCGCCGGCCGGGTGGGAACCGCGCGGCGGTTGGCGGTGGGCGGAGCCGGCTAGCGGGCTAGGGGCCCGGCGCAGGTACCTGCGGGGTGAAGGGTGGGTCCAGGGCGGCGGGGCAGGGCGGGGAGGCCTGGTGAACTCTGCTGGTTAGCCAAGGCCCGGCCGCGTTGTGCGGCGGCTTGGGCACACAGTAGGCGCTCACTAAGTGCTGAAGGAATGAATGGCTCAGTCCCCTCCGCGGCCCTGCCCCACCGGCCCCCACCGTGAGAGGGTGGAGGCCGCCCTCCTGCTCCGAGGCCTGGGGCGGCGAGACGCCGACCGGCATTTATTAGGCGCCTACTGTGTGCGCGGCTTTGCGGGGTGCACAGCGTGGAGGCCGGGGCAAGTTTGAACGCGTTTAGAAATACTATTCCCTCTATTGCATAAAACAGAAGTCAGTACTGCCAGAAAAGGGACGGGGAGGGCCCTGTGTCTCCCAACGTCTAAGTAGGCCCCTGTAAATGTAAATGAAGTGGGGGGAAGCACAATGGAGGATCTGAGGTCCCTTCTAATAACTACATTTTGGGGTCCAGGGTGAAATCTCCACTTCGGCCCATTGAGTCCCATAAAGAGCCTCAGGCATTCAGCTGGCCCTTCCGCTCACCTGGCGACCGCTGGACATCTGTTCTGCCCCAGGCCTGTGGCGGGCACAGGAGATACAGTTTAGGGGAGGGGTAGGTGGGGACAGTGAACCCAGATGAGGAGGACACATCCTTGGAAGGTCGGGGTAGAAGGGTCTTGCGGGCAGCAAGAACAACCTGTGCAAAGGCCCTGTGGCAAGAAGGGGTTTGGCACAGTTGAGGGACACTGATGTGGACTGAGGAGACAGGGGAACCGGTCACACAGAGCCTCAGCCTTGATGTAGAGTTTGTGTTGTGGATCAGCACAGTGCAGAAGCTCACGCCATGCCCCAAATGATTTCACCACAGGGGAAGTGATTCCTGTCTTTGCAGCCTAAGGTGGAAGTCACCAGGTGCCCATGGCTACCACGCAGAATTTCAAACTGTGTTCGATTGCAGTTGATCTGGAATCGAGTGTGGTCAGTAGCTGCTGTATTGGACACTGCAGCCCCTGGAGTTTTCCAAGGGAGGCAGTGACAGGCACAAGCTGTGGGGTGGACTGAAATACTCGGTGTGACACACTGGGTTACTGGGGTTGGTTAGATGACCCCACAGCTGATACGGTCGCCCTGGTGTTCACAGCTAGGTGGAGGCATGAGCTTCCCGCCGTGTGATCAGGCCCGGTAGTGCATCGTGGCACTGACCTGTGCGTCCATGCATGGTGTGGCCCTGCGGTGACCGGTGCAACCCAGCCTGCGACCATGGTGAAGCTGTTGGTGGCCAAAATCCTCTGCATGGTGGGTGTGTTCTTCTTCATGCTGCTGGGCTCCCTGCTCCCCGTGAAGGTCATCGAGACAGACTTTGAGAAAGCCCATCGCTCCAAAAAGATCCTTTCCCTCTGCAACACCTTCGGTGGTGGGGTCTTTCTGGCCACCTGCTTCAATGCGCTGCTGCCCGCCGTGCGGGAGAAGGTAAGGCTTCCCTTACCTTCCCTGGGTGGTGGCTGCAGCCTGGGCACCTCAGGGCCAGGGGTTGCGGATGGTTTTTCAACATGGATACCAAGACCAGTGAGGGCCTCAGTGCTGTAAGGATGAGGGAAAGGAGAAAATGAACTGCTGTGTGACTTTACAGTGGTTGCCGCCCCTCTCTGTGCCTTACCTGTAAACAGAGTTGGACTAGACCTGGGTCAGGACTAGATGGATGAGCTTGATAGGGGTAAACGTCCACACCAGTCTCTACACTCCACCTAGCACGTACTTTGTCCCAAATTAAGTGAGGGTACTCTTTGTCTCCAGCATCTGTCAGCTGCTGCTGCATAACAAGTCATAACAACTTGGCATCATAGGACAAGTGGCATTTATTATCTCGTGGTTTCTGTGGGTCAGAGGTCTGGGTGCAGCCAGGCTGGGTCTTCTGCTTTGGGTCACATGAGGCAGCAGTCAGGATGTCCCCTAACTGTGGTCACATCTCAGCTCACGCATGGAGAGGGACTGGCTTCCAAACTCACATGGTTCTGGACCAGATTCAGATCACTGCTGGCTGTGAGACCAAGGACCTCAGTGGCTGGAAGTGGCCCTCTGTCCCTCTCCACCAGCATCTGCCCAGCACAGCTGGTTGCTCCATTAGCAAGGTGAGAAGACAGGAGATCCTGGCAGCAGGACATAAGTCATAGTTGCGTGTAATGCAGTGGCAGTGGCGTGGCCTCCCTTCTTGTCTACTGTTTAGAAGTCTGGCCCAGGTCCCTCCAATGCCTGAGATGTGCCCATCTAGAGGGGGCTGGCACAGGGGGCTGTCTTAGGGTCTGCCTGCCACAATCCCTACCCACATGGGCTGGCAGTGACCCGATCCTCAAAGCCACCTTCCCCTGGCCCAGGCTCCAGCCCCTTGGAGGACCTCGGTGGGAGGCAGGCAGCCATGCCTGCCAGGTGACTTCAGCTGAGCCTGGGCCAGTGCAGCAGCAAGGCCGAGTGGGCGAGTGGGCTTCGTTCACCTGCCTGTGGGAAGGGCGGGGCTTCTGGTGCAGCCCAAATTCCCCAGCCGCTGCCCAGGCCCCACAGCACTGGGTTCCAGGGCACAGAGAGGACCGCCGTGGGCAGCTGTTGTTTGAGCCCACTGGGGTGGAGGGTTGCCTTCTCCCACGGCCCACGATGCCAACCCCATGTGTCCACCCGTGTCTGCTCCCTGCCCGGAAGCGTGGGTGGAGCTTCAAGTGGGATAGGAGACGCTTCCTGCAGTCGTAGCCGCTGCAGAAGGGATTGTGTCACCGTAGCAGAGGCCCCACTCCGTTAACGTGGAGGTCATCAAACAGGAAGTGAGCTGGGTGAGTCTGGTCTAATCAGCAAGCAGTCACCCTGCTGCAGGCCTCACAGAAGCAAGAAGCTCTGGCAGGTGAGGAGGGTGACACACGGCAAGGATCCCAGGGTGACCTCCAGGAGCTGAGCACGAAGAGATGGATTCTGCCCGTGTGCCTGGAACCCGACCCTGGTTCACAGCCATCTCGGCCCGAGGCAGCACCCTGGCTTCTTCCTGGTGGGACTCCGCCAGTGCAGCCCAGATTGCTGACCCCCAGAGCTTCGAGATGACACCTTTGTGTCGTCTGGCACCATAGGCTGTGTCTGTCTGTCACACCGCACGGAGCTCACATAGCCTGTGTCCACATGAATGAACCATTCAGAGTTGTCCCCAAGCTATGATGTCTCCTTCTGGTGCATGTGGCCACCCCTGTCCTCCTGTCCCTCCTCCTCCTTGAGCTGGTGGTGTCACCTTGGTGGCCGACACGGCCTCTCCTCCAGCAGGTGGCCACCCCGGGCAGACAGGCCACGTCTTGGCGCTGTGTGTGTCCCGGGTCCTGATCCGTGTCTGTCGCTAGGCGAGGCACACAGGCCTCGCGTCAGTGTGTAGTGAGCAGCTCAAGTGACTTCTCCACAGGGACAACAGCCAAGGGCGACTTGGGGCCCCTGTGGTTGTCACAACTCAGGGAGCTCTTGGCACAGAGCGAGTGGAGGCCAGGGACGCTGCTTAGCCCCCGCAGTGCCCAGGATGCCCCTACAAACGCCCGGCCCGTGTGCCCACTGCGGTCATGAGAGTCACAGTGGCTCCAGACATTGCCACAAGTCCCGTAGAGGCAGTCACGCTGGCTGGGGGTCGCCGTGGGTGTGTTCAGCTGTGACAGAGCCTGTGCACAAGGAGCAGGGACCGTGCCGTGAGCCGGCCCGTGCCTGAGAGAGGGGCTGTCATGCGCTCCCGGGAGGTGGTGCCCATGTTTGCCACCTGCGTGCCTTTCGCAGGACCCTGCATCCTGGCAGGCGGCCTGATGCTGTGTCCCCCTGGGCACACTCATCTGACCTGTGTCCATTTGATCACTAGGAACCCTGCCTGACCATGAGCAGGGCGAGGCTCAGGTGTGTGGCCAGGTGACAGTGGAGGGGACAGCTACAAAACACGACCCCTCTATCACACATCAGAGAGGCGGGGGCAGCACGCTGCTCAGGACCAGCAGGAAGGGACTGTCTTACAGCCCCCTAAGCCCTGGGCAGGTAGCAAGATGGGGAGGGGAGCCCGTGAGCCAAGGCCTTCCCTAGGCGTCACCCAGGCAGGCTTTCCAGGGGATCTTTTGTATGTTTTGTGTTCTTGAGATGATCTTACTATGTATCCCAAGCTAGTCTCATACTTGGCTATCCTCCTGCCTCAGCCTCCAAGTGCCAGGACCAAGGGACTTTAAAGCAAGCAGTGTAAGTCCTATGGGTGCCCTGAGACAAGAGGGGTCACTATGCAGAGTGTAGGTGAGTCCGGCTGGCTATGTCCGGCATCCACAGGGAGGAGGCTCAGGAGCAGCTGTGCAGGGCAGAGATCTGGTGGGTCCCATGGGACAGCCGGGTAATGTGAGCTGGAGCCTGTCGGGCAACCGAGCCTGCTAGCCGACAGAGTTAAACCCATGTTCTAAGAGACTGCTCTGGCAACCTGAGATTCTGGGAATCACGACAGGGCCCCTGGGTTAGGTAGGGTACTATGAAATTCCATGTAAACTGAGACTCAGAGGGTGAGACTCCACCAGCCACAAGCCAGGCTGGGGCCAGAATGCCCCCAACAGTGGGCAGCATGTGCAAAGGCCCTGGGGCTGCAGAGAGCTTGGTGTGCTCACATCTGGGTAAGGCAGGGAGGGCACATGGGGCCCAGGGCCACCTGCCTTATCTGGTTCTTCAAGTTTTACTGAGTTACGAGATAGAAGAGTTGCAAGTTCAAGGCCAGCCAGGATATATATTGGAACCCTATCTCAAAACAACCAGAAAGTTTTCCAAGTTAAAGTTGAACAGCATCCAGTATCCTGATCTTTGTCTATACCATGTTTCCAGCACTTCCCCCCCGCCCAGAGGGGCCAGGGGCATAGTGAGTAGCTCCTCCCTCTAGAAAATTCTGTGGGGTGGGTCCAACTTGGGGGAGCCACGGGGTGGCCGTGTGTCCCAGGGGACCCCATATTCATGCCCACCTGGGTCAGTGGAGAAAGAAGGGCCCCCTAGTCATCTGGGGGCTGAAACCAGTGGCCTTTCTGAGGTGGCCCCCTGGGGCTGCAGGTGCCACCCTCCTGCTGCTTCTCGTGGTGGCTCCTGTGGGGGGCTCCGTGGGGTCTCCTCCTTGGAAGGACCCTGTGCTGTGGGTTAGGGCCCTCTACGTGGCCTCGTGCTAAACTTACCACCTCTTTAACAGTGCCATGGGCAGACTGGTTTACTTATTTATTTATTGAGGATGGAAACTGGAGCCTTCGAACTGACCCACCTCCACCCCCACCCCTTTTAGAGACAGGATCTCACTAAGTCACTAAAATTGCCCAGGTTGGGCTCAAACTTGTGACGCTCAGCCTCCCAGAGTGCTGGGATGACAGGTGAGCAGAAGCATCCCCGGCCCTCCTGGGTTCTGGCCTCCGCTGCAAATGGGGTATTTCTGGGCTTTGTGAGTTGAGCAGCGACGTCCCACTGCTCCTCTGATGGCCTCTGTCCCCACGGCAGCTTCAGCGTGTACTGAGCCTCGGGCATCTGAGCACCGACTACCCGCTGGCGGAGACCCTGCTGCTGCTGGGCTTCTTCGTGACCGTGTTCGTGGAGCAGCTGGTGCTCACATTCCGCAAGGAGAAGCCATCCTTCATCGACCTGGAGACCTTCAACGCGGGCTCGGATGCGGGCAGCGACTCGGAGTACGAGAGCCCCTTCGCCGGGGGTGCGTGCGGCCGCACATTCTATGCCGAGGGCCACACGCATGCGCACGGCGCGGGCCTGAGTGTGCAGGAGCTGTCGCGCTCGGGGCCGTTGCGCCTGCTCAGCCTGGTCTTCGCGCTGTCGGCGCACTCGATCTTCGAGGGCCTGGCGCTGGGCCTGCAGGAGGAGGGCGAGAAGGTAGTGAGCCTCTTCATGGGTGTGGCCATCCACGAGACGCTGGTGGCGGTGGCCCTGGGCATTAGCATGGCCCGCAGCGCCATGCACCTGCGCGATGCAGCCAAGCTGGCGGTCACCGTGAGCATCATGATCCCGCTCGGCATCGGCATCGGCCTGGGCATTGAGAGCGCCCGCGGCGTGCCAAGCAGCGTGGCCTCTGTGCTGCTGCAGGGCCTGGCGGGTGGCACCTTTCTCTTTATCACCTTCCTGGAGATCCTGGCCAAGGAGCTGGAGGACAAGAACGACCGGCTGCTCAAGGTCCTCTTCCTGGTGCTCGGCTATGCTGTGCTGGCCGGCATGGTCTTCCTCAAGTGGTGAGTCTCCTCCTCCTCCTACTCCTCCTCCTCCTGGTCCTCTGCGTTGTGGCTGCGGTGAGCTCCAGCAGGACACAGGCCATGTCCCCCAGCCCCACCTCCCTGGAGAGGGAGTGCAGGGACGAGGCCTCCCCAGCCCGGGCTGTGCCCCCATCCTGCATCCCGAGTCTCCACGCACCGATGCTACTTTAAAAACACTCTTGAAAAAGATTCGCTAGAGCTGTGTGGCCACATCAACCTTGGGCAGGGTGGGGCGCCGACTGGCGGGAGATGGGGCCTGGGCCACAGGTCCAGACATGTCAAGCCCAGACTTGCCCCACCTCACCCCCGCTGAGGACAGGAACCTCAGGCCCGGCTGTGCCCAGGATGTGAGCAGCATCATCCCACAGCTGGGCTGGGTGGCTGCAAGGCCCGTGTCCTTCAGCCAGGGATTGCCAGCGATCCACCCTCAAGACACACACACACACACACACACACACACAGCAGCACCCCAGGGCAAGAAGCTCCTGGGGCAGGGAGCAAGGCGCGTCCTAGCAACCCCTCCCTGCCTGACCTGTTGCCTTGGCAACCCCAGCCTGCCACTGGGGACCTGGAGTCCAGTGATCAGGTTGTTTTGGGGAGTTTGCTTGGCAGGAAGGAACCAGGTTTTGAGCCTGGAGCCCTATCTCTGGGCCGTGGTCATGCTGGATGCTGAGGTCTCCCTGGTGCCCCCACGGACCCCAGTGTCCTCCAGTGCCCACCCCAGGCCGTGCTCTCTGTTCCAACTTCTTCCTATGCCTGGTGCTCAGCCAGCACCCATGGCCCAGTGCTGTCCTTGCTGTGGGATATCTGGGTCCCCAACAGGGAGAGCCCGTCCCTCATCACTGTGGCGAGGACCAGCAGTGGCTTGTCCGAGGTTGGGTGTCCCCTGAGGGTGTTGCCACCTGCCCAGCTCCTAGGACTTGGACATTTGCAGCCTGAATGTCCTTGTGAGGACTCAGGAGTCAGAGCCATCGCCTTGACCCCCGTAGATCAGCGCGGTTTCAGACCCATCTCCGGGGCCCAGAGCACATGTCCGGGCCCCCGAGCGCTCTGGCAGGGCCGTCCTCAGTGCTGTTGGCAGTCGCGCCCTTTCTTGCGCACTCCAGCTGTCTGTGAGGCCGGCGCAGCCCGGCCTTGACCCGGGCCGGGAAGTGGCTGTGCGGGTGTGAGACATCTCTGCTGTGTCCTGCACCGTGTTCCTGCCCTGTCACCAGGTGCTGCCCACCTGGCCTTTGCCACCAAAACGCAGGTGTCACAGAGATGCCAGACCCACTTGGGGAGGACCCAAGCTCTGCACGGATGTGGGGTATGGCCTGGTGACACGACTGGGCCAGGACAGGAAGGCTCAGGTCCCCCCATGCAGCGGACAACAGTCTGTTCTAGCAGGCCCAGCTCTGTACCTACCCCATCACCACCAAAAATGCACCCTGTCGGGTGCCCCCCTCCACGTCAGCTCCCCGGAGTGGCCCTGGGGACACCAGCAAGCCTGTCTAGCTGTCCTCAGCCTCTTCCTTACCTTCCCCCAAGAGGAGCCTCTGAGGTGATGCCAACCCCTCAGCCAGAGCTCACCCAGGGCCCTCAGCCCACTGCCGGGCACCCCTTACCCAGGGCACGCCTGCTCCCACCACACCTCCGGTCGACCTACTGTGGCCACACCCACTGCCCTTTGCCCCTTGGGATCCTCACCCCTTCCTTCCCCCGAAGTTCATCCGGGCCTCTTCAAGTTTGCGAGAGGCAGGGGCTGTGGTCACGAGACCAGCCTGCTCATCGCCACCGCTCCTGTCCACTGTGGTAAAAGGCATTGTCAGCCCTGGGCTCCCGGCATCCTGGGACCACAGGGAGCAGGTCAACAACTGATGCAAGCCAACTCAAGGCAGTGTGCTACATGGCGTTTTTTGGGCCCAACTTGGTGGCTGTCCCGCTTTCAAAAAGGAAGTGGAGGTATCTCCACTGGGGTGCCAGGAAGCAGCACAGTTCTCTCCGTGACACACCCAGGTGTGACCTGGATCAGGGCCTCTTGGGGTTCCAGCCCTGTGTGGGGGTCCTGACCATGTACATGTGCACTACCACATGACAGTAGGAGCTTCCGCTTGAGTAAGACAGGAGTCACCACCACCCTGGGACATCCAGAGCTCTGCAGAACTGGCTGGCCAGAATTCGTCACAACAGGTGACAGGCTACAACCTCTGCCACTGTGACGCCCAGAACTGTCTCGCAGCTGGAGAGCTGGCACCCTTTCTCATGATCTGTACTGACTGGGGTTCTCAGTTGTGATTCTGGCCCAGGGGACACTGGGCGGTGTCTGGGGACATGCTGGCTGGAGGCCAGGGATGCCGCTCAGCACCCTGCCAGTGCCCAGAACGCCAGCCCCAGCCTGTCCCTCCTGCGGATCTGCAGCACAGACAGTGGCGACAGTTGACAGGTGCGTCCCGCCCTCCGTCTGGAGCAGAGGGAGAAGGAAGGGGCGGCAGCCCCGGGCCTGCGATGGAGTCACCGTAATAACAGCGTGTCGAGCCTGTGTGCTCCCTTGTTTGTGTTCCTGCCAGGCGGGTGGGTGGGATGGGGAGGGCCGAATCCCTGCGCCCAGACAAGCCACCGGCGGCAGGGGGGGCCGTGCCTGCCCCCTCACCCGGCGCCTGCCCTCCTACGCTAGATGACAGCCCTGCGTTCCCCGCCCCGTGTCACACCTGGCCAGCGTCCACCCTTACTGTGGACTGAGCTGTGCCTGTGCCGGGGCTTTAGGAGAAGCAGGGACCTGCCTGTCACACCTGGAGGCGCCCAGCATTCCCTCCATGGGGCCCCAGCTTCCAGGGGCACAGGAGGGCCCTCACCTTGAAAAACGTCACTGCAGGGCATAGGGCCTTCCCTGTGGAGACCTAGAACACAGCTCCTGGGTACAGTGCTGAGGCCAGGTTGGGCTGGGGCAGGGAGACCTCCACAGGGTCTGCGACACTGCTGACCTCAGGGCTGGCATGATCGCTAGGTCCTGTTTTTTATTTTTGTTGTACTGGGGCTTGAATCCAGGGCTTCACATTGAGCTATACCCCCAGCCTGTTATTATTTTTTATTTTGAGACAGGGTCTCACTAAGTTGCCCAGATGGGGCTTGAACTTGCAATCCTCCTGTCTCAGCCTCCCAGAGGGCTTTGATGGCAGTCATGCACCGCCATGCTCAGCTAACTGCCCCATCTCAGAGGAGGTGAACCGGGCTGGCGGGGGTGCAGCTCAGAGCTCCTGCATTTGGAGTGCTGCCCATGGAGCATGTGAGCAGCCACTGCTCCGCCCAGAGCTCCCCGGGGGGGCCCAGGGGCACTCTGGAGGCTGCTGTCTCGGCGTGTGCAGACCCTGCCACACTCAAGCAGCTGAGTTGGCCCTACAACAGGGACTGCCCACGTCAGCGCTGCTTATGCATCGTAGGCACTGCAGGCGCTGAGCGGTGTCCCTGCCCTCCACCCACTCCATGCCAGGAGCTCACCCAGCATCCCTGGGAGGCTGGCAGGACCCCCAGCATATAACTCAGGCAACTCACATTGCAGCGAGGAAGACCAATACCATCAGCACACAGCAGAGCGTCAGGTAGCAGTGGGTGCCCGGCAGGGGGAGAGCATTTTACCCTGCCCCAGGAGGTGGCCCAGAGGAGATGACATTTGAGAGGCACTAGCGAAAGACTTAGGTTTCGGGAACCGGTTGTGAAGAGGCCCTGGGGTCTTTCTGCTGATCTCAGCCTTGTTTCCTGATGACCAAAGCGGCCTGGGCTCTCTGTAAAGAGGCACAAGAGTCGGGGTTGGGGGTTTATCCCACCAGCACTAAAGGCCTCAGGACCCCACTCCTCTGACATGGCACTGTAACAGTCTCCTATATTCTAGGGGAGCCCAGGTTGCCTCCAGGGGCCCAGCGGTGCTGCGGTGAGGTCTGTCTGTCAGTGCGGCTCCTGCAGGCACGCTGAGCAATGAGCCCTGGGTTCCCAGGTGCGGCCTGTGTTTCCAGGGGCAAACGCCTTTGACAGATGACCTAGTTGTAAAACCCTGACGCCGCGGGCGGGTGACTCTGTAGTGAGGGCCTGCGTGAAACATGCAGTGCTCTGGGTTCAACCCCAGCACGGCAAAAATGAAAGAAAGAGAAAAACTAACAGTAGTAATAAATTTTACAAATAAAGTAAAATATTGATGCCAGTTTAAAAACATGCCACCCATGTGGCCCCAGCAGGGCACTGGGGTAAGGAGAGGCCCCGTGGGCTGCAGGGTCAGGCAAGGACAGGGGCAAGGCAGGTGATGGCTGTCCTTGCACTGCAGTGGAAAGATGACGGAGTCCAGCAGAAGTCTCCAGACCAGGCCTCCTGGAAGGAGGGGGCACGAGGAGCCAAGTTCTAGTCCTGGCCTGGCCTCCTCCTCGCTGGGCCACCTTGAGGGAGTTGCTCCCCTTCTCTGAGCTTCGGTCTCCAGATGTGGGCAGGACGGTGGCCAGGCATGGCTCAGTGCCAGCCGTGGTGGTGTTTGTGTCTAGACATCTTGCAGGCTCAGGGGCTGGAGGGGCTTAAGCTAGGGGGACCTGGAGCCCCTCTTCCTGCCAAGGAGGCAGCAGGTTCTGAGTTCCCTCTGCCACTTCTGCCTTCTGGAGACCCTGGGATTCTCCAAAGAGGGCTCCCCCGGGAGCCCCTGTTCCCCCAGTAGCCTGCTTGGCCTTCCTAGCATCCACGTTCCGCCCTCTGTGAACTCTGAATTGTGCAGTTTGCCAAGGACAGGCAGAGCCAGCGGTGCCCGCCACCCCCGGCTGGCCACAGGAGGGGTCCTGCCGCTTTGGCTTGGGTGCTCCATGTCCTGGGGAGAACAAGGAGGGGACAGAGGCTCATCCTCCGCTGGTTCACAAGGCCTGGAGCCTGGCCGGCCGGGAAGCTATAAATAGCAGGCGGTGGCGAGGAATTGCCGATGGGCCCAACTCTCCCCGCCTGAGTCAGCCTGGCCGGCTGGGGCTGGAGCCCCAGGGAGCAGCCAGCCAGGATGGCCAGGCACTCTGGAAACCCGCTGCTGGCTGAGAGTGGCCCGGGGTGAGATTGGGAGTGGTCAGGTCGCAGTGGGACTTGAGCCTGGGCCTGGAAGCTGCACCCTGGTGCAGGAGGCGCAGGGAGCCACAGCTGTGTTAGAGCTGCAGTTTAGGGCTGGTGCTGGAGTGGGGGAGCAGGGGAGGCCAGGAAGGAGCCAGGGCGAAGCACTTTGAGCCCCGGGGCGAGGGTGAGTGGGCTTGGGGATGGTGCCAAGTGTCTAAGCAACCAGGAAGGGCCCGCCCCAGCCACAACCGAGAAACAGCCAGGGAGCCAGAGGAAAGCTGTCTGCTCATACTTGGAGATGGGGAGCTCACCACCTCTCCTATGAGCCCCAACTGCACCAACTCTAGGAATTCCCAGCCCTCCTGTGGGTCCTGAGTTCCAGTCTCCCTGGAAGGTGAAGGGCACCTTCCTCTGACACCCCAGCCGTGACAGCCTCAATCCCACCCCGGGTGCACTTTGGGGTGTGGAATTGGAGCCCAAAGTCCAGTTTCCTCCGAGATCTGCCCAGACGAGCTTCAAGGCAGGAGGGGTGCAGGCCTGGCTCCCCAGCACTGTGGGAGGCAGAGGCTAAGTTCCAGCCCAACCTGAGCAACTTAGACCCTCTCAAAAATAAAATAAAATAAAATAAAGGCCAGGGATGTAGCTCTGTGGTGTAGCACTTGCCTGGCAAACGTGAGGCCCTGAGTTCTATTCCTGGTACCCCAAAAGCAAAAAGGCTGGGAATGGAGCGCAGCGCAAATGCACGGGGTTCCATCCCCAGTGGCGGGGGCAGAAGAGGTGGAGGAGCTCCAGTCTTAAAGGGGGTCGAGGGGACAAAGGCTTCTGCACGCCTAGCCACTCCCACCCACCGGGCAACAGACTGGGCGGGGGCTCCGCAGTTTGTTCCCAGAGTCCCCAGCTGCGAGCCCCACCTCCGCCCTCACTTGGCCCCGGACCCCTCCAGGGCCCAACTGCCCTTGGCGCTCACGGGTGCCCCTGCCACAGGGCTGCCCACCCAGCCCAGATCTGCCCCCAACAAACCCGTGGGGTGCGGGCGGGGATGCCCCGCTGTGCCGAGCCCCCAGCTCTGCCCTCTCAGAGCTGCTGACCCACACTTTTGTTTCTACAAGCCATGCCCTTGAGTCCAGGCAGCGAGCTTGGCCACGACCCCAGGGGTGTTGCCTCGGCTCTGCGCCCCCAGTTCCCCAAAATGCCTTGGCCCTGGTCCTGTTGCCCCTGAACGGGACCTCTCTGCTCAGACCCTCACCTGCCATCCCCACCCGCGTGGTCCCCAGGGCCCAGATGTCTGCCGGGTGGCGGGGCAGGGGTCCTGGGGGCTGGCAACCTCCCCCTGAGCGCAGGCGGGTCCGGGCGCGGTGGGGCGGGGACGCCGGCGGGCGGGGACACCGGGGCGGGCAGG